CTTTGGTCCGAAGTTGATTATGTATTTTTGCTAATTTTGCCCATCAATTGTGCACATTGGATGCTCTGTAGACTTGACATAAAAAATCATAAGATGTACGTATACAACTCAAGCTACAAGATTTATCGTGAAAAAATGGTTTTGGTCGGGGTTGACCCCTTTGTCAGAGTTATCCCGAATTTGTTGTTTGCTTTGGGCATCTAGAATAGAACCTCTGTTGATCCGGGTAAAGATCCAATTGTGATGAATGTGTTGCTTGTAGATGACACTCTGCATCAACAAAATAGGTGCAACTTTGTGACTTGTTTTTTTCTTTTTGTGACTTATTTTTGATTCCCAAATTTTCATTCATACTGTCATCTCTCATATGTTACCTCTTGAATTTGTTGTGCAGTCATGATTGTGGCATCTTCGTCATTAAGTACGTAGAGTACATGTTACGTGATGACATTTAGTCTATGCCGATTAATTTTGATGCGAGATGAGCTAAGTTGGACATTGCCACCCGATTGTTTAAGCACAAGGATATCAAGAAGCCAACTCAGTTGGTACAGTCAAAGGAAGAGAGCATTGTCGTAGAGTGACTGTAGAAAATTTGTGTAGTGGCTAGAATACTTTTTGGTGGTTTATGTTTCCGCAATGGATGGAGTTTATTTTGTTCATGTAACTTCAAATGACTTATTGTTTAAGTGTATTAATGAAAACAAAACAGCTTGTCTATGGTTATGACAATGATCTATATGACAGTTTACTATGTTATATACACAGGTCACAGATGTTTTGTGAAATGGGTCACAAACATGTGGTGAATAGCTTTGGTAATAGTGTTGATTTGTTATATGTTCATGTGCATTGAACACAAGGTTGTAGACACAGGTCACAAGACACATGAGTGTTTGCACAAGTCACAGATGTTTGTGAAATGGGTCACAGATCAAAGGTCACTATGTTATGTACACATTTCACAGATGTATGTAAAATGTGTCACAGATCATAGGTACCTATGTTATGTACACATGTCACATATGTTTGTGAAACAGGTTACAGATATCTGTGACATAGGTCACAGATCACATGACACTATGTTTTGTGCACAGGTCACATATATTTGTGAAATGGGTCACATGTTACAGTATTATGTACACAAGTCAAAGATTTTTTGTGATATGTCACATATATCAGGTCATAATATCATGTACACAAGTCACAGTTGTTTTGATATGGGCCACAGACCTCAGGTCACAGTATTATGTGCAGGGGGTCACACGTCACATGCCAAGTGACTATGTATACATGTCATGGAATCACATCACTTTGTGCACACGTTCATAGGTAATTAGATTGCAGTCACATTCTTTGACCTGTATTCCTTGGTCACAGGTTGTCGGTCACAATTTGGGTTACAGGTCCGAAGTCACATGTCTGTATAGCTTATGTCACAAGTCACAAAATTTAATGTATGAATGTTAACGTGAGAAGTTCATCTACACATTTTGTTTGTCACAGTTCAATTATAAACTATCACAATGTTCTTATCGAATTTCAAAGCAAGCCTAAATTGTGTACATGTAACGACTTACCGAACCAAAGTAATGAATGCTAAAATGTCGATAGCGTTAACATTTCACATAATTTTTTATTATTTTTTCGTTAATGGAAGCAGGATGTTGCATGTCCTACGATTGTGACCACTACCTTCACAACATCTACATTTCACCGTTTGTTTCCCCTTAATGCACGATCTTCTCCTCTTTTTAGTAGGTTTGCCAGAGCTCCTTTTCTGATTGGTGTCAAGACAATTACATCTTCAACTTTCGGGGCACAATCCACTCATTCGGATTCCCCACTGGGTATACTGTGTATTGGTACGCATTCATGTACGCTTCACGGTTGTAGAAGTACAAACAATAATCGTACGGATCTCATTTAGTAGTTGTTATTACAGCCAATGCATATGGACATG